TATCACAGAGAAGTATGTGCACCCATGTTTATAGCGGCACAGTTTGTAATAGCTAAATCTTGGAAACAACCTATTTGCCCATCCGTTGGAAACTGGATAAAGAAGTTGTGGTTTTTCTATAAAATGGAATATTACTCAGCCATAAAGAGCGAGAGAATAGATTCATTCATAGGAAAATGGATACATATTGAAGATATACTCCTAAGTGGATAATGTATTTCTAATGTTCACTTTTGAAAATAAATGTTGAGATGACATAATTCTGTATTTTGGTGTAAGTAATAGTGTGCCAATTTAATATTTTTAAATCAATTTAGCAATAAGACTTGTTTTTATTTTGTACCATTTTAGACCCACAGATCAATTGAAATGTATTTCTAATATGCTAGTAGGCCTAGCATTTATGTAAGTTTTTATAATCAGGGTGAATGGGCTACTAAAAGAGAATTTTGTTAATTTTTGGAATTTCTCACTATCTTCTGTGGTGAATTCTCTCTGTATGTGTTTATACTCCCATCTTTCCTTCCTTCAGTGACACATAGGACATTTTAAAACTGGATTTTATATTTTTTAAATATATATTTTTTAAAAGAAATTTTTTTGTATACATGCTTTTAGAAAGAGCTTAACTTCTTTCAAACAACTTGATTAACAAATGTTACCTTTTCATTTGCTAGGAAAATAATCTGCATATATCCCATCATAATTGTAGATTAGATCAATTTGTGAGCTTCCATGTTCTTTTTACTGAAGGTTATTTTGATAATATGCATGAAATTTAGGAGTGTTTTCAAACATAAATTTTACTTATGCTTGTGTTGCATCTCTTTTATTTTTATGGTCATTTATCCTTCCCTTACTATACTAAAAATATGATGGTATGATTACTCCATTTTTTAAAAGTTACAACTTATGTAAAAATCTAGACCATTTTTACTGTACTACATCTATAAATTCTGATTTGCCTATGATAATCTTCATTTACATCACTGTCCTGGTATCCTATCAAGAGTAGTGCTTCATTTTGTTTTAAAACATGTCCGAATTTAAACAATAAATAATATCATTCAAACCTTATAACATTGCATCCAAAATTCAATGATTTCCATCCCCCAACTCTGTCAGGCTCTATCAAAGGTATGGAAACCACAGCCAGTGTTCCTGGCCTGACCTCTTGGTCCACTGTGGGAGTTTGAATAAAAGAGGGAAAGTGGTATAATTAAGAGGTACAAATTAGAGCAAAGAAAGTCTTGCTAATAGGAAATACTGTTATTGAGAAAGATATAATGAATTACCAAGGAAATGAACAGATAAAATCTTTTATAAAACATCATGAAGAGCCAGGGATTTATTTAGCTCAGCGGTTCGGTGGCCTGCCTTGCAAGCGCAAGGACCCGAGTTTGATCTAATATTGAAATTAAGCTATACTTTCAATCATGTTTACCTGAATTTGGTGCTATTTCCATTTGTGTTTAAAACACCAAGGGGCTGGGGATTTAGCTCAGTGGCACTGCACCTGCCTTGCAAGTGCAAGGTCCTGAGTTCAATCCCCAGTTTCAGGAAAAAAACAAAACACCAAAGGGATGAAGGTTTGTACTTCAAGTTTTACCACATTAGATTTAATATACAGAGCATACTTTGGGTGGAGAGTTAGATTTATGAATTGATTACAGTGACTAAGAAGCACATTTCTTGGATGCAATGAAAGTTTACTCAAATCTCTTTCTTCTTTCATGAAAATTTAAAATTCCTTTTTTGCTATTAGACCTTTTCCTGAAATTATAAAGACAGATGTCTGTGGTTATGAATGGGTTGAGAAGTGCTGATCTTTTCTTATCAGAGGGTACATCATGGCAGACACATGCTGCCTTTTGACTCAACAGTGAGCAAGCCTCCAAAACTAAAAGTACTTTTGTGTGAGAGAGGTAACTCTC